AAGCTACTTGTGCATGCCAGCTGGCAAGCTACTTGTGTGTGCCAGCTGGCAAGCTACTTGTGTGTGCCAGCTGGCACTGTGTGCCAGCTGGGAACCTACTTGTGTGTGCCAGATGGCACTGTGTGCCAGCTGGCGACCTACTTGAGCGAGTTGTGTGTGCCAGCTGGCCAGCTACTAGCGCCACTGCCAGATGGGAAGGCTTGATGTGTATAGTGACGGAGGAAAGCTGTGCAGATAAGGTTGCAAAAAGGAAGAGAGAGAGAGAGAGAGAGAGAGAGAGAGAGCAAAGCCTGAAGGATGAGGACGGACGAGCGAAGCTCAGCAGATAAGGCTGAGAGAGAGAGAGAGAGAGAAAGAGAGAGAAAGAGAGAGAGAGAGAGAGAGAGAGAGAGAGAGAGAGAGAGAGAGAGAGAGAACGAGAGAGAGAGAGAGGGAAGGGAAAAAGAAAGAAGGATGAAGAGGGAGAGGAGTTAAGCTGCGCAGATGAAGTTAGAAAAGGGCGACTACTGTCTTCCCCGAACACAACGCACCCTCATTATGAATGTATACAAGCTGTCTTTCCGGTTTCCATACAGACATAATGAGAGTGCTTTGTGTTCGTGGGAAGACAGTAGGCCTCCGTTATTGTGCACATCATGTATTACTATTATGATCACGTATACAATAATCACAGAGAGAGAGCGAGAGAGGGAGAGAGAGAAGGGAGGGAAGAGAGAAGGAAAGCCAGAAGGACGAAGAGGGAGAGGAGTGAAGACGCGCAGATGAAGTTATATAACAGGGCGTAGGTTTCCCTCCGTCATTGTGCACATCATGGGTTATGATCACTTGCTTTTCTTTTTAGCGAGGGAGCAAGCGAGCGAGAGAGGGGGGAGAGAGGAGAGAGAGAGGAAGACTCCCTTATGATGGCTCCCATGAGCCACGGTGCCAACGCAATCATGTGTAAAGCACGCATAATGTAACAAGGTAACAAAAAAAAAAGAAAGACACTGATTGATTGGTTACTTAATCAGTCACTCACTCACTCAATCAATCAACCAACCCACCGATGAATCAATTAGTTGATCACTCACTCAATCATTTAATTGACAGATCAATCAATCTTGCGCGATGCCAATCACTAAGCCAACCAACCAAATAATCAACCAGTCAGCCAACCAATCAATCAGTCCATCCATCCATTCACCAATCAATTAATCAATTAATTAATTAATCAATTAATCAATATCAATCAATCAATCGGTCGGTGAATCAGTCAACCAGCCAATCAATAGATCAATGTCGCGCAATGTCAGTCACTCAATCGATCAATCAGGCAATCAATCAATCAATCACTCAATCAATCAATCAACCAACCAGTCAGTCGATAGGTCAATCTTGCGCAACGTCAAATCAATCAATCAATCAATCAGGCAATCAATCAATCAATCAATCAATCAATCAGGCAATCAATCAATCAATCAATCAATCAATCAATCAGGCAATCAATCAATCAATCAATCAATCAATCGATCAATCAATTAATCTTGCGCAACGTCAATAAATCAATCAATCAATCAGGCAATCAATCAATCAGGCAATCAATCAATCAATCAAAATCAATCCAATCAATTAATCGGTCAATCTTGCGCAACGTCAATCATTCAATCAATCAGGTAATCATGTAATCAGGCAATCAGGCAATCAACCAATCAATCAATTAAATCTGGTCCGTTTCATTTGCTGCCACGTGTCAAATTTCCGGTCGAGTCGTCAATCTCCACGACCCAGATGCACCCTACCGCTTACCATCCATCACCCTCCCCTCCCCTTCTCTCCTCCCCGCTTCTCTCCCCCCCCTCTCTCCCCTTCCCCCATTCTCTTCCCCCCTTAAAAAAAGGAGGAATGAAAAAGGGAAAGCAAAAAGAAAAATCCAAAACAAAAGAAAAATGAGGAGGATGCACTTTACCTTCTTCCTCGCGCGACCAATGAACGGCCTGCTTTTTCCTTTTTTTTTTGGGTTTATTTCTCACTTTGTTTCCCCTTTTTCATTCCTCCTCTCTCTCTCTCTTTTCTTTTTTTTTGAGGGGGGGCAGTGAAAAAGAAGACTAAAAAAAAGCAGACAGCAATTGAAAAAAAAAACAAAAAAAATGGGAAAATAAAAAAGCTCAGGTTCAGAGCAGTGACAACGCTGACAAGAAGCGTTTCGACATACACGTCTGCATCGTGGTGAGAAAAGTGGACTCATGCAGACGTGTGCATTCGTGAGAGTGAAGCCAACCACTTTTCTTAGGGTTGCAGCGCGAACTCCTGGGCGACGTCCAACAAAAAAAAAAAAAAAAAAAAAAGAAGACCTCCTGGGCGACGTGGTGAGTCCTTATCCATCAGTCCAATGCATCCTGATGCATCCTGGGCAGACTGTCTGTCGGGATTCAACACCCTCTTGACGAGTCGGTGACTGTCCGACGAGACAGTCTGTCACAGTCACGCTTTTTTTTGTGGAGATGTGTATAGCGAACATGACAACACATATACGTACGTACGTACGTTACGATGCTACGTACATTCATGCAAAAATGTATAATGCCCTCATACGTGGACTGATGTACGTACATACATGCACACGTACGTACGTACGTACGGGATACGTGCGAACTACGTATGTACGCACGCATGTATGTACGTGTGCATGCATGCAAAAAAAAAATACGTAATAATGGTTGTGTGCTCTATAAAGGGAGACGCGAGTGACACGTGACAAACAGGGCGAGAGGTATCTGACTGTATATAAGCTATATATCTTCCCGGTTCGCTACAGTCGTAATGAGGGTGCGTTGTGTTCGGGGGAAGAGGATGGTGTGCGACGGCAGGTGACCGACGTATGGCAGTGTGCGACGCGTTCCAGCGTCTTGGCCAAGGGTTGATGGCAAGAGCGCGCAAGTGCATTGTTGACGTCAACGTGTACAATGAACGACGAGCTTGTCGCCGTACCCACCAGGCCGGGGTTCAGTGTGCGACATGTCGTTCGGGGGAAGACGGTATTGCGCGACAGCGGGTGACCAACATATGGCAGTGTGCGACGCGTTCCAGCGTCCTGGCCAAGGGTTGA